AACACAAAGCGGCCGAGGCAAGCAGGCATCAGTCCTGGGATACACAGGGGACACAATGGCAAGGTGTCCTGTTGCCTTTGTTTATCCCACTGTCCCCTGTCTCCATCCTTCAATTGTTTGCTCCCCTTGACCCTCAGATTTGTCTTTTATACAAGCAAAGAAATTAACAACCGTATAACGTGCTTGCTTTGCAAGCATGAGGCCATGAGTTCAAGCCCCAGAACCCACATTAGAAAGCCAGAGATGGTGGCCTGTGCTTGTGCTTCTAATCCCAGATTGGAAGGCAGGGCCAGAATAATCCCTGGGGCTTTCTGATCAGCCAGCCTCACTTAACTGACTTGCCCTGGATCCTCGGAATAGATCAGTGGATAAAGACGCTTACCACCAAGACTAGTGGCCCAAGTTCAGTTCCTGAACTCACACATAGAAAAAGAAAACCAGCCTCTTCAAGTGTCCTCTGCATACACACACACACACACACACACAAGAAAGGAAGTAAGGGAGGCAGGAAGAAAGGAAGGAAAGGAAGGAAGGAAAGAAAGGAAAAGAAATTCCATATCCCCTGGCTTTCGCTCCACCCCTAGAAAGAATGAGGCCCAGCCATGCCAAGGATGAGGCACAGCTTCTGGCAAGATCGTGGTGACCTTTTCTTGGCAGCGTCTGGAGGGATGAATGGGCTGGCCTCCCCCAAGGACTCCCCGACAGCACCATCTTCTCAACTCTGCAATTCCAGGCTGCGGGGGACCAGACCCCTTCCACCTGACCCCAGGCCTTCTTCCCCCCATTCTGATCCTTTTTGTCTATTGGGGAGTCTTAGAGTCCAATCCCTTTATAGGCCAACCCCACAAAGATTCTGATCATCCTCATTTTAACAGTGGGGAAGCAGAGCCCACCTCATATGAGACTTAGCCTAAATTCTCATAACCAACTTGAATCCCCTCAAGGAGTTCTTCTTGGGCTGGGATGAGGTCAGTAGGCTCTAAGGGAATCAGAGGAAAGTTATGGGGAACTGACACCTCAAGACATTTCCAGATAGGAACCCACAGTCTTGGCATGGACTTCAGTGGCTGAGGGCAGAAACATACTGGGAGTATTCAGCTATCTAGTCCAGACCCTTGCCGTTCCTAATACTCCACCCCACTTCCAGTATGAGACACTAGGAAGTTCTGCATGGGACTGGGGATGTAATTCAGTTACCAGTGTTTGCCTAGCATGCATGAATCACTGGGTTATAAGCCAAACAACACATAAACCAGGCATGATGGTTCATGCCTGTAATTCTGGCACACATAGAGGTGGAGACAGGAAGAACAGAAGTTCAATGTCAGGCGGCATGTGTCCACTGATCCAATAGTGGCATGACTGTTGTGTGGGAGGAGCAACTACCTTCTGCCACCTTCTGCTGAATTGAGCCCATCTTCACCAAAAAAAAATTTAATTAAAAATTTTTTTTTAAAGTTCAAGGTCAACTTTTGACCAAGCTACATGGTATCCTGTTAAAAGAATAGTGACAAATAGGAGCTGGGACTGTAGCTCAGTGATAAAGCAATGTCCTTGGTATGTATGAGGTATGTCCCTAGATTCAATCTCCAGTACTGACGGGCGGGGGTGGGGGGTTTTATGAGTCTTTGGAAAGGAATATCATGGACCTGATCTTCCTCCTTGATCCTGTTCCTTGCCTTGAGTCAGCTCTCTAGCTCAGATACAGGATGTGGCCCTTCACCACGGGCCTTGTGACCTCTCCTGGCTAGAGTAGCCTTAGAGGAGGGGTCTGTGGTGACCCTGAGCTGTGAGTTACCATGCATTTGTTCCTAAGGCTGAATGAACTCAGTTCAGACCCCTCCTGGCACCTGATATCTTAACAAGCTGACCACCCTGGGCATAGGGTACATTAAAAGATCCTAGAGATCTCTTTCTCGTTTGCCTCCTGCATGGAAATTCGATGAGAGAACCCTGGTAGAGACTGGGGGCTGTGAAAGCTTGTCTGCTCAGGGGTGGGGAGGAGAGCTAAAGTTCTCCTAGGGTCCTCTGATGAGAATGAAACCATCTTTACAACAACCAGGCTCAAACTGGGCATGTAATCCAGCACTTGATGTGCAGAGGCAGGGATTTTCAGACATTCAAGGTTATCTTTGGTTATGCAGAGAATTTGAGGCCAGCCTGGGCAACATGAGACCCTGTCTGAATTTTTTTAAAGATGAGACTGGGAATATAGCTCAGACAGTAGAGTGCTTGCCTAGCATGCATGCATGACGCTCTGGATTGGATCACTATAGGGACTGCATAAACTCTACATAAGAACACCTATAACCCCAGCACTCAGATAGTCAAGGCAGGAGAATCAGAAGCTCAACTATAGTAAGAGTTCAGGGTTTCAGGCCAGCCTTAGCTACATGAGACCTTGTCTAAAATAAAAATAATAAGCCTTCAGATCTTTTAGTCTAGGCTGCTCAGGAAGTGAGACTGCTCTATGGGGCAAGCAACTACCAGATCAGTAATAACTTTGAGCGCCTATGCCTGCCTCTGCTTTTGGAAAAAGACCAGCTCTCCCAGGAGGTCTTCTTGGCCTCAGTGACTCCCACGGTATACTCACCAGACATGGCTAGTATTCATTGGTTGCTTCAGTCGCCAATCACAAAGCTCTGCATTTTCAGCAATGAGGCCCACTTCCTGGCTCTAGAGCTTTGTTGGACTCTATGGAGCACTTCAGAGAGAGGTCTGGGCCCCTGCTCCCCTCTGCCAGAAACATCCAGAGCCAGGCAAAGGCAATCATGTTTTGTTATCTGTGACAGTAAGATACCCTGAAGGAGTCAAAGGGACAGCTGAATGAACTTGGTTCCCAGATCTCTCCTGGCACCTGGAACTCCCTGATTGGCTCTGGCCCTTAGTGAGGCCAATTCCTCCTTCTTCAGTCATGAGTGTTAAGGACTTAGTGTCATGTTTTATGCTAAAAATTAAGATTGTATCCAAGGTGGTATATGCCTGTAATCCCAGCATTCAGGAGACTGAGGCAAGAGGATCGCAGGTTCAAGGCTATCTTGTAAAACTTTGTCTAAAAATAAAACAAGCTGGGCATGGTGGTGTGCGTTAGTAATCCCAGCACTGAAGAGGAGGCAGCTGTAGAATCGAGTCTGAGGTCCGAGTCTGAGGTCATCTTTGGCTGCATATTGAATTCTAGATGCCAAGCCAGCCTGTGCTACATGAGATACTGTCAAGAAAGAGAATAAAAGGATATATATATATATATATATATATATATATATATATATGGTTGTGTGTGGCTGACATGGTTATGAATGCCTTTAATCGTGGTACTGAGAGGCAAAAGCAAGTGGCTCTCAAGGCTAGCCAAAGCTACTTAGTAAGATTCTGTCTCAAACTAGCAAACCTGAAGTTGCTGGCAGCAAATCTGGCTGGGTAAAGATTGTGGAAGTATCAGGATCTGCAAACAGAATAGTACCATCTGCTCTTGCAAGGTTGGGGCCCAAGGTCAGAAGGGGCTGTCTGTGCAGGGGTGGGTGGGGAGGCTGGGGAGGGCACAATTAGAGAATCCTGGACTAGTTATACCAAAATAGACACTGGGAAGCAAAAGGCCAAACCCTGTTGTGTCTACCAGGAAACTGTGGCCTAGCCTGGGAGAGTTAATTTGCCGGGACCCCATGGTGCTCAGTTAGTAACAGGCTCTCAGATTGCTAGTTCCTAGCCAGGGACCTTTGGATGGTGTCAGGTTACCTTTCTGGTCCTAATTCACTCTTGGAAAAAAAAAGTTAACAGCCCTGTCCAGACATCAGCCAAGGGCACTGGCTGAGGCCCAAGGAGCTGGACACCCTGGTCCTCTAGAGGTGAATCGGCCTCCTCTTGGGCCTAGAGTTGGGGTGGTTGCGTTTTTCTCTCTCTCTCTCTATCTCTCTTGCATTTTTGTGACTCTAATGATGAACTTATGCTACCACACTTTTCCCTTCTCTTACACAACTCACCTACTAAAGGAGGAAGTGCCACTTTATTGGTAAGTGGACGTTAACCAAGAGGGACTTAAAAAAAAAAAAATCAGAACGTTAAAAAAAAAAAAAAGAAATGAAATGAAAAAAAAAAAAAGAAAGAAAAAGAAAAGAGAGAAACAGAAAGACAGTTGGTCAGCTACTGAACACCCCTGAGCTCTCGGCAGGGTCGCAAAACAAAGTCAAATATTAACAGAAAGAAAAAAAAAAAATGTCAGGTTCCCCAGCAGATCATTTTGGTTTGGGTATATAATGACATTTGTGGTTTTTTTTGTTTCCGTTATTATTATATTATTATTATTTTGATTTTCTTTTTTTTAATTTCTGTTTTGACTCCTTTTCTTCGGTTAAATTTTGAGTTGAGTTATCTTGCCCCCTCCCCCATCTGTGTGCCGTGTGACACCCGCCCCCTCCATGCCCTTTACCTGGTGGGGGGAGCCTGGCCCTGGTGGGCTGGCCCTGACTTGACTACCAGTGCCGTCCCTCTCTCTTCTCTCTCCTGGGAGGGAATCGTCTGTCCCCCATGAGGGGACAAAGTCAGCCCCTCTGGTGTCCCATCCTGGAGCTCCCCCCCGCAGCCCCCTCCCCCACCGCTCCGTCCCTCTTGTGTTATGCATGCCGAGAACCTTGCATGGTCTGCTATGTTGAGGCCAGAAGGTGAACGCTCAGGAGAGGTAGAGGCAGGGCAGGCGCGGGAACCGTGTGTGCGATGCTCCGGGGCTGCAGCCCGCGGCCTAGGCCCGGTGAAAGCCCTCTCTCCTTTTCTCCCCCCACCCCACTGCCCTCTCACATTCCCCCCCACCCCTCCTCTTTTTCTGTCGACCTTTCCGTCTGGCTTGCCTCCCCACCCACCCCTTCTGCTACTCCATTTCCCCACCCCATCTCCCGCGTCCGTCCTCTGCATCCACAACCCTCTCTGCTCCGGTCCTCTCTGCATCCCTCCCTGCCTCTCTCGCCCCCTCTCCGCCCCTCTGTGCCCTTCTCTGCCTCTCTCCCCGTCAGAAGCCTAGCTCGCCCCGGGCCTGCGACAAGGTGGCCGCCGCGCCCACGCCGCCCGCGCGTGGGAAAGACAGTCAGAGCCCGCGCTCCGCGCCGTCGTCGCAGGGCCGCGGGGGCCGCGCGGCGGGAGGGGCGGCCAGGCGCCGTCGCCGGCGGAGGAGGAGGCGGCGATCTCGATCCTCGGCCAACGCGCCCCGCCGCAGGGGGCGCCGGCGTGCAAAGCCCGCGCCGCCCCGGGGCTCGTCCCGCTCGCTCAGCGGGGCTCGCTCCAGCAGCGAGTCTGGCGGTGGCGCCCCGGGTCCAGGCCCGGAGCCGGGCTCCGAGCGAGGTCACAGCGGACACGGGAAACGGTGAGTCCCCCTCCTGCCTGCACCCCACAGGAGCACCCTCTCTCACTGGTGACCCCCAAACGGAACCCCTCGCTGGTCACCCTATATGCAGCCCTCGTGGTCACCCCACCCCTCACTGGTCACTGCATACGGGATTCCCTTCTCAACATCCCACAGCAACCCTCCCACTGGACATCCCATATGCAGCCCCCAACCCATCACCTCCAATGGGGACCCTCTGTTAGTCACCCCACATGGAATACCCTTTTACGCTTTTCCTCCTTGCTGGGCTCACGGATCTCTACTGCCACCCACACACACACCTGCTGCGCAGCCAGTCACTGAGCCCTGCCCCATGCTCCCTCCTCTAGGGCAAAGGATCGACCCCCGCGCGCAAGGCCCACAAGCACCTCACCATCCCCAGGCGCGCACGGCCGGCGGGGTGGCCCGGAGGGGAACAGCTCATCACGCAGCCCTGGCCCCCATCCGGGGTCCTGGAGCTCCAGCCGCTCGCCATCCAAATCACGATCACGCTCCCCAGACAAAAGGACCCGCAGCCCCAGCCGCTCCCTGTCGCCCAAGAAACCTCTAGGCCGGTAAGAGTCCCGAAGGGATTGGGGGATTGGGGCGGTGGGAAGGGGCGGATGACAGAGGACCCGGGCTTGGGGCCCAGGTGGCGGGGATCTCTCACCGCGAGCGGGTCCCACAGGGACAAAGACAGCGAAGGCCGTGCAAGGCATGCGGAGGCTGAGGCTGCCCGCACCCGTCGTCGATCCCGCAGCTACTCACCCATCCGAAAGCGGCGCCGCGATTCGCCCAGTTTCATGGAGCCAAGGCGCATCACCAGGTACAAAGGGGCCTGGGGGGGGGGTGTGTGTGTGTGTGAAGTGGGAATAGGACTGCTGTTGGTGACCAGGAATGTCAGGGAGTCAAGATTCACAGGCCTGGATGGATGAGTCTGATCCAAAGGAAAAAGGAGGGTTTGCCAAATGGAGAGAAACTAAAAGAAAGATGGGTTGAGGGAAGAAAAACTTGTGGATTTGGGGGTCATGGAAGAGCTAGGGAGGGATGAGGGTGCCAAGGCATCCAGATACCTTGGGGAGGAAAGATGCCATGGACCTAAGCCTGTCAGTACTTGGGTCAGGTGCGCCCCCCCCCATACACACACAGCGTGGAGTTCAGGTCTGGGAGATTCCATTCATCATCTGGAGCCCCTCTCCCCCTGTATCTATCACATCTTCAGTGATATGTACTTTCTCCTTCATCTCAAGGAACTTCCTGCTGCGTGGCCTGTGGCCAGCCTGGGGGCCGTGTGGACCGGGCTCCACAGGCAGCCCAAGTGATGCCCATGTGAGCTAGTCTGGTAGTGGTCAGCTGTCCGTCGTCTGCGTCTCCTTTTCTCACTAACCTCCCAGCACCCTGGGGAATTGGTGGAGGGGGCAGGAGCATCCTAGTATCTGGGGCAGCTGTCTGAGGCATCCCGTGCAGAATGAGTAGTGTGGCCGATTTGATCGAAGACTAGAGGGGTCTGACTCTGCAGATGAAATCACTCTAAAGCTGGGACTAATGGCTCAGGCCTCTCATCCCAGCTGCTAGGGAGGCTGAAGCAGAGGGGATGGACAATTCAAGGGCAGCCTGAGGAGCCTAGGAAGACCTTGCCTCAACACAAAAAGATTGATACACTGTTTGCCTAGAATCCCCTATTGGAGGAATGGGGCCATGGCTCAGTAATAGAGCACCTGCCTAGAATCCCCTAGTGAGGGGCTAGGTAGGGATATGCCTCAGAGGTAGAGTACCTGCCTAGTATGTATGAGGCCCCGGATTTAAAAATCACCACCCTGCAGACCAGTATTATCCCAGTATGACTAGATTGCCAGGGGCAGAGCCCTGAGCCCAGCATTACCCTGACTTGCTGAGGCACCTAGGGGAGACTGATGTACCTCTGTAGCCAGATGTGTATAATTAGCTAAAAATATGTAAGAATCTTTTTAACTCCACCTCTTGAATATCAAATTAGTTCTCTTTAGTCCTTGATAGTCTGGGTCTCCAAGAAGGCAGTGTGGGCGCCTCCTTTACTCACAGCTAAAGGCCACACTGCTGCAATAGAGATAGACCCCAGACAGGTGACACATTCCAGCTATACACTGAGGGTCCTAAGACAGCGAGGATCTCACATCTCCCTCCCACCCGACCCCCACCTCAGCCCCTCTGCCCCAGGCTGCCTCCTCCTCCCACTAATGCACACCTCTTTTTCTCCCTCAGAATTAACCCTTGTGGTGGGGCATCATAACCCCCTTAACCACTTTCTTTTCTCGGGGGTCATAGCTTCCTGCCTTCAAACTAACTCCAGGGCCAGCAGAGGGTGGGGGTGGTAGCTGAGGTAAGGGCTGGGGTGGAGGGGGGTAAAGGGGGACAGGCTGAAACAATGACAGCAATGGCCAAGGGTCTCCTCCTTGTTCTCTTTGAGTGACCTTAAAAATCTGACTCTTCAGCCAGGCCAAGGTGGTGCATTCCTTTAATCCCAGCACTTGGAAGGCAAAGACTGATGGAGCTCTGTGAGTTTGAGGCCAGCCTGGTCTACGGAGTGATTACAGGACAACCAGGGCTACACAGAGAAACCTTGTCTCAGAGGAGAGAAAAACAATTAAATATTTTTGGAATAGAGATGAGGATGAGAGAGACAGAAAAACAGAGCTTAGCCATAATACTTGCAAGCAAAGAAGACTCCACTGCACTCTTTTTTATGGATGCGGCTCTGGGTGGATCAGCTCCAAGGGATCCAACAACCTGAGGTCTTTATGGCCCCTGCACATGTGCACATACACCCACATAATTAAAAATACATACACATACAGACACATGATTAAAAATAATTCTTTAAAAGAAAAAGTTTCGCCAGGTAGTGTGCATGCCTTTAATCCCAGCACTCGGGAGGCAGAGGCAGGTGGATCTCTGTGAGTTTGAGGCCAGTGTGGTCTACAAAACTCTACAAAGAAACCCTGCCTAAAAAGAAAGAAAGAAAAAGTGAAAGAGAAAAAGTTTCACTCATGAAGTTCAGGGTATACCTCAGTGGTACTAGTATTTGTAAGTTCCTGGTTTTTTTCTACTCCCAGCATTGACAAACAGGAGAAAAAGGAGCACACACACACACACACACACACACACACACACACACACACACACACAAAATAAACTTTCATTTACTAAGAAAAATATTTGTTAGCACATACTCAGATCAATAAAGAACTTGGGCTTTTTTTTGCCCTGTGGACACACAAGAAAAAAATAACAATAATAAAACAACTAATATGAATTTGGCAAAGGACACAGAAGTTTGGAAGTGGAGTTGTCCCCGAGGTCAGTCTCAGGGAGCCCTTAGGCAGGAAGCCCTTGCCACTGCTGTGATGGGAACGGAGGCTGAGTGAGGGCCATGGATGAGCAGAGGTTGGGGCTCTGGGTGGGCTTGCATCCACTTTTTCTCTCTTGCAGTGCCCGAAAGCGTCCCATCCCCTACTACCGACCCAGCCCCTCCTCTTCCTCCAGCTGCTTGAGCAGTGACTACTCAAGCCGGAGCCACAGCCGGAGCCCAAGCCCGGGCCACAGCCACGGAAGCTACAGCAGCCGCAGTCATGGGACTCGCAGCCGCTCATGCAGCGCCTCCAGGAGCCGCAGTCCCAGCTACCACAGCAGGAGCAGCTCTGAGAGTGGGGGCTTCTAAGTTCAGATGGACCCATCTGGGGTTAGAAGGCCCTGGCACAAGGAGAGGCTGGGGCTCTGAGACCCGAGAAGAGGGGTCTGTACCCCCATACTGCTACAGAGGTCCCGGGGTTAGGGGGCAGCACGTGGGCAGGTGGGACTAGGGAAGAGCTTCTTCTATGGTGGGTGTCCCACCCACAAAGAGGAATCATACCGTCTTGTCCCTAAAGTGTGCCCATCCCCACGGCCTGCCCACCCACCATGTCCAGGGAACAAAGAGCCTTTTCGAACACAAGGATTAGATCACCATGCCCCTCTTCTGCTTGAGGCCAGCTTACCAACCTGGGGCCCATTGCCTGGGCATGGCACAAGAGTCCACTGCTGGCTGTCACCTCACCTCAGCTCAGTGGACCCCTGCACAGCTTGGAAGGTGCCAAGCCTGGGACCTTCCCCTCCTCTTTATCTCCCACGGAGTGGATCTGCAGACAGCAAAGTGAGCCAGATCTAAGAGGGAAGGGGGGCCCACCTAACTCTTGGTGTATTGCCAGGCAGGATGAGGGGTTCACATTTGGCCCCATCTCTCCCCCTTGACCTCACATCAAGCCGTAGGCCAAGGCCACACCATCCAGGCCTTCATCAGCACAAGAGGTGGCATATACCACATCTGTATCTAACCCTGAAGTCAAAGATGGGGATTCAGGGGCTGGGGATGTAGCTCAGTTGGTAGAGTGCTTGCCTAGCATGCATGAAGTCCTGGGTTCCACCCCAAACAAAGCATAAAACCAAGCATGCTGGTGCATGCCTGTAATCCCAGCACTCTGGAGGCAGAGGCAGGAGGACCAGGAGTTCAAGGTCATTTTCAGCTACATAGTGAGTTTGAATCCAGCCTGGGGTACCAGAGACCCTGTCTGGAAAGTGAGAGAGAGAGAGAGAGACTGGGAATTCAGGTCAGAAGATAAAAAAGAACACAGGTGGAAAGCCGAGGGATTTTTTTCCGTGTGGGCCCAAACAATGCAGTCAAATGATGCACAGATCAAGGGCTACTAGGAGAGAGATGCTGACTGCTATCTGGGTCATGGGCCAAAGAATGACCCATGACCTATGAGCCAATAATAGCTCCCGGTCACAAGCATAGGATAGCACGCAGTGCACTTCGGAGCCTGCCCAAGGGGGGCCTTGCTACCAGGCTTTGATGGGTCAGGGTTGGTCAAGGCTTTCAGAACAGCCTGGAGCGCGATGGGGAAGCAGCGGTCCCCCTCCAGCCCTCTTCTGTGGCACCCAGCCCTCCCCCTGCTGGGGCCCTCAGGGATCTTGAAGTCTTCCTTGGCCCAATAGGGCAGATGCTCTGGGCTCTGGTGGGGGGGGGGAGGAGTCTGGGGTCTGATCCGGGTTCCCACCCTCTCTCAGTTTCCCCTTCCCTCTTTCTCCGCAGTGCGGGAAAAAAAAATTGGACTGTAATAAATACACTAGGTGCCCGGATGAAAGGGTGAGAGAGACTGGCTCTATGACTGCAACCATAAGGGGAAGATTAGGGAGGAGGGAAAGCACTGGGGCCCTTTCCAGGGAGGACCCTGTGGGGCTCACATTCCTCCTGAGACCCCACTGAGAAGAAGTAGCATCAAGGAACCCTGTCCCATCGTCACGTCCAGCCCCCTGCCTCTGAGCAAGAGATTGCATAGCCTTCTGAAGCTCAAGTGGCCAGGAAGATGGGACCAAGAGCAATTCCTTCCTGCCTGGGGAGTCTTATGAGCTGTTTGTTAAAGTGTGTGTGTGTGTGTGTGTGTGTGTGATGCTGGTGTGGTATGTAATGTATATGTGGTCTGTTGTGTGTGTGTAATGTGAGTATGGTGTGTATAGTGTGTATGGTATGTAATGTATGTAATCTGTAGTGTGTGTGTAACATGAGTGTGGTGTTTAGAGTGTGTATGTGCAGTATGTGTAATGTGAATGTGGTGTGGGTGTGTGGTATGTAGCATGGGTGATATGTAGCATGGGTGGTGTGTAGTATGTGTGTGGTATGTAGCATATGTGGCATGTGGTATGCATAGTGTGTATGGTGTGTAGTGTGCATGCATACTGTGTGTGTGTAAGACAAAGACCAACATGAAGTGTCTTTCCTATGTTTAAGCTTCTCCACCCCAATCACAGTCAGGGTTTCTCACTGACCCTGGAGTGAGGAACTGGCTGTCAAGCTCCCAGGACCCCTGTTTCTGCTTCACCACCCTACACCCAGCACAAGGGCTAAAGATCCCACAACTCTCCCAACACTAGGGTTACAGATGTCTGCTACCATATCTGGCTTTTATATGGGTGTGGGAGATCCCAACTCAGGTCTTCATACTTAGTCAATGGGTACTTTACCAACAGAGCCAGCTCCCAAGACTGTAATATGACCTGGTGCTGAGTCAAACATTTCCTGGGAATGAGCCCCGCCTTGCAGCAGAACAGGCCCTTGCTCACAGTTGGCAGGCGTGCCATGCGGGATCTCACGGAGAGACACTCTGAAGTGTTTCAAAGCCCCCTTATCAAGAACATCGGTCCATCTGGGTGTGGTGATGCAGGACTATAAGCTCAATGCTCAGAAGGCAGAGACAGGAGGAACGAGAACTAGAGGCCAATTTGGAGTTTACATAGCAAAGCTATCTTCTAAAAAGAATTACACAACATTGCCAGGTGGTGGTGGCTAGGCCTTTAATCCCAGCACTTGGGAGGCAGAGGTAGGTAGATCTTCATGAGTTCAAGGCCAGACTAGTCTGCGTACTGAATTCCAGAACAAACAGGGCTACACAGAGAGACTCTGTCTCAAAAACAAAACAAAAAGAATCATACACTCCGTCTTGGCTGAGGGTGTAGCTGATATGGTTCTGCTGACTCCTTTTCTCTGGGTTAGCCACATGATAGGCACTGTCCTTTGTGTCTAGTCCCTAGAGCCTGTCTGCACATGAACTTTTATCTAGTTGCTTCTCCTCAAAACTGGAAGGATCACCTGATGTAGCCAGAAGCTCTGCTCCTGATCCAAGTTGTCTGAAGAAGCCCTGGTGATATCATTTTAGCCCTTTAGATAAATTAAAAAACAAATGAGCTAAGCATGTGGCTCAATGGTAGAGCACCTGCCTAGAATCCCCCAGTAAGGGGCTGGGGGCATGGCTCAGTGATAGACCTCTTGCCTAACATTTAGAAATCTCTGGATTATGGTCCCAGCAGTATGCACACATACACACACACGCGCACACACACACACACGCGCACACACACACACACAGGGCTTCTCCCTTACTATTTCTTTTCTCTCTCTTTTTCTTTTGTTTATTGCATTCCCTGTGTGTGTGTGTGTGTCTGGGTGTATGTGCATCACATGCCTTGTGATCTCTAAGATCAGATCACTGGAACTGGAGTTATGGACAGTTATGAGCCACCATGTGGATGCTGGAAATTAAAGCCCAGTCCTCTGCAAAAAGCAACAAATGCTCTTAAACACTGAGCCATCTGTCCAGCCCTTATTTTCTATTTTTAAATTTTATTTGTATGTGTGTGATGGAATACATGCCACAATGTACATGTGGACGCCAGAGAACAAACTTTGTGCAGTCAGTTCCCTCCTTCCACCCATACATGGGTACCCGGAACCACACTCAAGCTATCAGGCTTCTTTTGGTGAGTGCCTTTTCCTGCGGAGTCATCCCATCCGCCCCTACCACTATTTCTTTGAAAGCACAGAGACCTCCATCCCTTTGGATTCTCAGACCAAACAACCAAAGGAAACAGGAAATGCCTCCCACCATAGTTACAGTGTTATTTCCAAAATGCACCCCCAGCTATTCATTGAAATCCTAGTTCCCTAAACATTCCTCTGAAATAAAATAGGGCTTTAAAAAAAAAATGTGTGCGTGCACGTGCGTGCGTGCATGCGTGCGTGCGTGCGTGTGTGTGTGTGTGTGTGTGTGTGTGTGTGTACATGCACGCAGTGCCCATGGGGCCCAGAAAAGGCGATGGATCTCCTGAGGTGGAATTACAAGGAATTGTGAGCCTCTGACACTTGTGCTGAGAACAGAACTCAAGTCTGCTGCAAGAGCAGCAGAGCCGTCTTCCAGCCCTCCAACAGTTCTGGAGTCCTCCTTGTTTGCTCAGCTCAGTCCCCGCCTCTATGACCAAGAAGTTCATAGGCCTTTCAGTAACTCAACCTTATCTCCCCAACTACCTCAATCCGTCACTGTCAAAGATGCCTCCTGGGCGGTCTCCATCTTCATAGCTCTGAGTGAGCTCATTGTACAATACCGCCCCCATCCGCTTAGCCACCTCCTACTCTATGGAGCTGTCCAGATGCCCAGATGTAGTTGCTACCTCCTCCTGTTCCAATACATTGCTCTGGGCACCTGCTCGGGTCTCCAGACTCTTGTCCCAGATGTTCGTTCATGGACATATCTATCTCTCCTCAAAGTCCTGAGACTCTATGGGAGACTCAACGTCTTCTCTCTGCATCCCGACCCCCACACCTTTATGGGCACCTTTGAAGTGTTTGAGTAAACAAATGAAAGTCAAAGGAACAATTCCAGAAGCCGGAAACCAAAGATAAGTGTGTTGGCAGCATGAGGGCACCAGAGGGCGACAGAGAGTAAAGGAAAGGTGATTTAGGAGACAACATTCCTACCGGAGGCGCTCAGCCAGCTTAGTCCAGGAAACCGGACTGAGGCTCAGCTTGCCCTCTTCACTGTTCCTCCTAGTACAGAGAGAGAATAAGACCAGGATCGGGGCACGGAAACAGGAAACATCGAACCCCGCCTCCGTTGCCAGGAGACTGGGAGGGACTGACCTTCACTAGGATGTCGGGCATTTGGCACCGCAAACTCTGGAGCCTGGAACAAGCCCTTACCGTTTGAGGGTGTAGCCACTCGCTCTTGTCTTGGTCAATAACTATCTAATGGGGCTCATATGAAGTTTCTATTCCAACACACAACAGCAGGAGGCCACAAACACGCGTGTGTGTGTGTGTGTGTGTGTGTGTGTGTGTGTGTGTGTGTGTCCATTGGGGGAGAGGTTGTAAATGCATATGTATGTGGAAAAGCACATATGTGTGCCTGTGGAGACCATAGAACAATCTTGCGTATCA